AAAAAACAAACACAAAAACAACAGACTGTTTGCCTCTTACTAAGTACAGCCTTGCAGTGAACTAATCAAAACTCGAAGTAATTACATGTAGCTGGCGTAAAGCGCAGGAAAACGCGTGCAAACGAGTCACAACTGGTTTTGGTTTTACTTCTGATGAGATGAAACAGACGAAGCAGTGTAGTGTAGTAATGCAAAACCATTGACTACTTATCGACACTCAAATCAAAACTACTCAATGAACCATATCGGTTCCAATTACTTCAAGCTCCAACTGTCCAAGGGGCAATCAGTAAACTCAAATGATAGATGAAGCCTGCAACAGACCGGTTCACAGACTGAATATTTTCTCGTTGATCCTGGAGGACCCAAAAAAGAGAGAAAACCGCGGGGGAGAAGAAACCACTGAGGACGGNCCCACTATACACTGCGCACCTCAAACCCGTACCCAGCCCTCTGGTCCGTGCCGGCAAAATAGTAATTTATGCTAATTTAAGATCATCACAAATTACATAACTACTTATCGACACTAAAATCAAAACCACTCAATGAACCATATAGGTTCTAATTACTCCAAGCTCCAACTGTCCAAGGGGCACTCAGTTAACTCAAATGATGGATGACGCCTGCAACAGACCGGTTCACAGACTCGCTATTTTCTCGTTGATCCTGGAGGACGCAAAAAAGAGAGAAAACCGCGGGGGAAAAGAAACCACTGAGGACGGACTAGCAAAAGAAATAATACAGGAAAAATTAATAGCGAAACCATCAGAATTCCATTAATTTGTAGCTGAATAGTATAGACCTTATCACGGTTTTTGACTTCATTTTGACTGGTAGGCAAAGCGGTCAGGAATTACAGTGTTTGTATGGGAATCCGATGGCAAATAATTTTTTTCCAAAATCGAATTTTACACAATTTGTGAATTGAAACGTTAAAATACTAGGTAGGAGATTGTATTCACCAAGCTTTGAAGGATGTAGCTTGGCCAGAAGACGCTCAGTTAATTTTTCTAATTTTCCATACATTTGTCTGTAAATTTTTTTCCCGCGATCACGTCTACCCATATAAAAAGGGCTTACTTTTTAGGGGTTAAAAATTGGGTTTTGGTACCCTGCGAGTCTCC